GCCGAGGCGGTTGGATCACGAGGTCAGGAGATTGAGACCATCCTGGCTAACACAGTGAAACCCCGTCTCCACTAAAAATACAAAAAATTAGCTGGGCGTGGTGGCGGGCGCCTGTAGTCCCAGCTACTCAAGAGGCGGAGGCAGGAAAATGGTGTGAACCCGGGAGGCGGAGCTTGCAGTGAGCCGAGATTGCGCCACTGCCTTCCAGTCTGGGTGGGCCACAGAGCAAGACTCCATCCCAAAAAAAAAAAAAATGTATCCTGAATATTATGTATAAAAATAATGATTGAAATAAATAATGTTTACTTCCAGCAAAGAGCATACATTTACTCTGTCAGAATGTTAGAATTAGGGGCTGAATCATTCTGATGTGCAGTTGAGCTGGGTTTTGGCTTTGTTGCAAGTTTATTTGATTCAGTGCAAAACTGGCTTCAGATATTTTTGAGTGTATGGAATTATGCCTTTCTCATCAGAATGGTCTTGGGACTCAGCACTGCTGAATATCTGGAGAGATTTTTGTGTATTATGGCCGTGTTGCTAGCCTTTCAAACTGTGAAAGATTCTGATTCACAATCTTTCTGTAGTAAGGGTCACTAGGGAGCTTGCTTTGCTTTGCAGTCCTGCTCCTGGATCTCTGAGTCTGGGGAAATCTCTCTCTACTCTGCTCCTCTGACCCCATTCATTGAAAGGCAGCTGCCTTATTTTACATGAAGGCCTGCAATGCCTCAGATTTCTCTCAGCTTGCACCCCTGATCTCCATCTGAGCACATGGTGAAGCTCTACAGGAAGTTGGCAGATAGAGAAAGACTTACTCTATAGCTACAGTTTCTTGGAATTCTAATTTATCAAAGCAATCCACACATATCTGTTAAAAGTGCATTATATTTTCTGTTGATTTCTCCTTATTTTTTTTCTGTTGGGTTTATTTTTTGCTGCTTTATCATAATTGAAAATCAGCATGTAGGAGAGAAAATTTCCTGTTTCCTATGGAGCAGCTTGTCATTTGCTGGAGTTCAGTTCATGTAGATTCTTTGCATTCTCAGTAATCTAATGAGTTACAAACAAAATAAAAATAAAGACCAAAAAAAAAAAAAAAAAATCACCCAACAAACCCGAAACTAATTTTGTAGCTTAGGCAGATAGTTTTGTTTGCTAGAGTGAGAACAGTGGTGACTCTTGTGGCTTTCTTAACACTAATCGAAAGGAGATGGGCTTTTCTTAATTTTTAAAAGGTTACAAAAAGCTCAGCAAGACTTTTACGTACCTGAAGGGCTTGTCAGCTTCTAGTTTTGCTTTCCTTTGGGTAAATCCTAAGTACAAAGCTATGGATGTTTTTTCTCTAGGGAGTAATACACACACCACCCCTTTTGTTCTTTCCAGAGAGTTTAATCTCATTCTTTTGAGAAGATTCTTCTGGTTTTTTTTTTTTTTTTTTTTTAAACTTTTGTTTTAGAATCAGGGGGTATATGTGCAGGATTGTTACATAGGTATATTGTGTGATGGTGCTGAGGTTTGGGGTATGACTGAACCTGTCACTCTGGTATTAAGTAAAGTACCCAATCGGTAGTTTTTCAGCCCTTGCCCCCATCCCTCTCTCCATCCTCTTGCAGTCCCCAGTGTCTACTGTTCCCATTGTCCATGTGTACCCGATGTTTAGCTCCCACTTATAAGTGAGAACATGAGGTATTTGGTTATCTGTTTCTGCATTAGTTCACTTAGGAAATGGCCTTTAGCTGCATCCATGTTGCTGCAAAGGACATGGTTTCATTTTTTTCATGGCTGTGTAGTATTCCTCTTCTATGATCCCTCTATTTTTTTATGTTCTGTTGCAGGTAAACTCTTGGATACAAGGCATTCTGTTTCCAGGACTTGGGGAAGTGATTAGCGTGAAGTCAAATGTCTCATATATATAGACGTTCAATAAATAACCATATTTTCAAATCCAAATCTCATTTTTATCCTCTGTTGTGCTTGATTTTTTTTAAAGATTCTGTATGACAGGTTGTGTTATCTTCCTAGATGTATTGATACCGTTCATGCATATTTTGGCTGCTGCTTCTTTAACACTGGTTCATTATTGTTATAAAATTTGTCAGCTTGCTTACTGTCCTCTAGAAATTCGTTGAAAGCTCTCAGGTGTCTTGTACTAGAAGATTATATCAGGAAATTTCTTTTCTTTTTTCTTTTTTTTGTGAGACAGAGTCTTGCTCTGTCACCCAGGCTGGAGTGCAGTGGCTGGATCTCAGCTCACTGCAAGCTCTGCCTCCCGGGTTTACGCCATTCTCCTGCCTCAGTCTCCCGAGTAGCTGGGACTATAGGTGCTCGCCACCTCACCCGGCTAGTTTTTTTGTATTTTTTAGTAGAGATGGGGTTTCACCGTGTTAGCCAGGATGGTTTCGATCTCCTGACCTCATGATCCACCCGTCTCGGCCTCCCAAAGTGCTGAGATTACAGGCTTGAGCCACCTCGTCCGGCCTATATCAGAAAATTTCTAAAAAACTAGAGGATTAGAACTGACTCCTAAGTGGCCTGAATGCTGATTCAATTCACCTTTCATCAACCCTTATCTCTACTTTATTTTACTGCTCCTTTTTCTTTCTTTTTTGAGGTTTTGCTGAAGATATTCCTGAAGAATCATTCCAGGTGCCACGCTAAAAAAATGATCCAGTTGACAGCTACCCCTGTGAGTGCACTTGTTGATGAGCCAGTGCATATCCAAGCTACAGGCCTGACTCCCTTTCAGATGGTGAGTTTTCAGGCATCACTGGAAGATGAAAGCGGAAACATGTTTTATTCTCAAGCCCACTATAGGGCCAATGAATTTGGTGAGGTGGACCTGAAGCATGCTTCTTCACTTGGAGGGGATTATATGGGAGTCCACCCCATGGGTCTCTTCTGGTCTCTGAAACCTGAAAAGCTATTAACAAGACTGTTGAAAAAAGATGTGATGAATAAGCCTTTCCAGGTCCAATTAAAACTTTATGACTTAGAGTTAATAGTGAACAATAAAGCTGCCAGTGCTCCAAAGGCCAGCCTGACTTTGGAGAGGTGGTATGTGGCACCTGGTGTCACACGAATTCAGGTTCGAGAAGGCCGCCTTCGAGGAGCTCTCTTTCTCCCTCCAGGTGAGTAGAATTACTCTGGTTATTGTTATTCTTGTTTTTCCACTTTAAATGCATTATCTCTCTAGAAATTTAACTTGAATATGGATAATACCTAGAGCACTGCTTCCTGCCTTACAATCAATGTTAACCTTGGGTCAGAACAAGAATGTGGTAATATTCCACTCCAGCTCAAGTTTCTTCTCAACAATTCTGAAGCTTGTCTAAGAATGTGACTACATATAGTTTATGGAGTCCCTACATTATGGACTTTACATAGCTTTGGATTTGCTAAATTTTTCTGGATTGAAGTCTGGCTATATGAAGACCCTCATCTTGATGTGATGGAAACCATATCGCAGATCCTTGTGCAGGCTCTGTTAGGTTGAGTTTCAATTTAGGCATTGGTTATTACCTTGCTGCCACAACAAGCTGGAGATAAGATGGACTGAAAGATTGCAGCAAATATAGAGGATGCAAGAAATTTTGTACCCTGTAGCTTCGTAAATATTACATATTTATAGATTATTCCATGAATCTAATAATATAGCATGCTTCCTAATGGCTATAAAACTTATCAGAACACTCATAGTTTCCCACAGAAATCTCCAAATACCGATAACTAAGTGGTTTAAACATCTTTTGGTACATTTCTCAGAGTTTATTGTGGGGCCAGATAAAGCAAAGTTAATTTCTCAGAAGAAAAGAAGCAATAAAAGCTTTCCTTTCCAAATTCACCATAACCCATGCACCTGCTCAGATAAATCTGAATTTTTAAAATACCCAGTAAATAGCATGTAGACCACTTTATTATGGGTAGTGATCAAGAATTAAATGGCACAAATTGCTGTACCTCTATTATCCCACCCCAGTTAAAAATCTGTTTATTGGTACAGGCCTTCCATCTTGGGATGATGTGCTGGTTTAGGGTGTGCTGTTTGGGAATCCTCTTGAACACTGCATGTGCTGGGTCTCCTGCTTCACGTGTGTTTTCTACAGGGGAAACAAAAGAGAGCTGAGTTGTGTGAGGTTATAAGGAGGTTGAGTCGGATCACAAATATTTCTTGACTGTAACATTCTTCCAAGATAAAAGACTCAGTACTTTTAAGTGTTTCCCCATTCTTGTCAATCAGATGGTAAAAACATCCTTATTCATTTATGCAAATGATAATTTAAAACTAAGATATATTCAACATCACTTGATTTCTTCTTTATTCATTGTAATTAATTATAGTAAGTTAAAAAAAATTCCCAATACTCCTTTAAATCAAGCCACTCCTTTCAAACATGCATGGGATCAGTCTGTCTTAGTTAAAATCACTTATAAAAGAACAGAATATCCCCAATAAGTGCATCGTAAGTTTCTTTCAGTGTGTAGGCTCTGCTTTATTCTGGAAGAAAGCTGCCTATACGGAGTGAGTGTAGGATGATACTCTGACCGTCCCTACTTTTTACCATGTGTCAGCCTGCAGAAAATAAACATGGTGTTATTGAATAAAAGGGCTCATCATTGACATATGCTTAGGTGTAAGATTTCATCACTGTATAGTCAAATGAGTGTAGCAGAGCAGTGTTAAGTCAGGATTTTAGCTAATACAATCATTGCAAAAAATTTTTTTGAGCCATAGATTTCTTTGAGAACCAAATTAAATCTGTGGAACCTCTCGTAAGTAAAATTCATCTATAAGTGTGTATATATATATATATATATATACACACACACACACACACCATATTTTGCATATATTGTAATTTCAGGATCTCCATGGATTTCCTAAAACTTATCTGTATACTTCTTTATAGGTTAAGAAGCTCCAGCCTAATTTCTATGCCTTTCTTTACAACAAGAGTATAGAAACTACCATGAATTCCCATTTCCTGGGCTGCAGACAGTAAATATGTCAGTGAATGTAGTTCCTAGTCAAACATCTAGATATTGTATTCCATTGTATAGTCAATGGGCCTTAATTCTGCCCCAGGGAGAAGGTTAAAACTGTTGGAATCGTATTTGAAAATTTAAATGTTAATTTCAAAATTATATTTGAATGTAATTTTGCATTTCTGCTTTGTCTTCTCATGCTTTTATTATCTTTATTTTATCGTTTCTTTTATTATCTTATAATTTGCATTTCTGCTTTGTATTTTCAAGTTTTTCTTATCTTTTCCACACCTTCTCTTCATGTACAATTCTGTTTTGTTATTTTTCAGGAGAGGGTCGCTTCCCAGGGGTGATTGATTTGTTTGGTGGTTTGGGTGGGCTGCTTGAATTTCGGGCCAGCCTCCTAGCCAGTCGTGGCTTTGCCTCCTTGGCCTTGGCTTACTTTAACTATGAAGACCTACCCGCCAAACCAGAAGTAACAGATTTGGAATATTTTGAGGAGGCTGCCAACTTTCTCCTGAGACATCCTAAGGTAATTTTTGCCTTTTCAGTAGGTTTGACTCCCTGGGGTATTTTGTTTTTGTTTTTGTTAAGAGACAGGGTCTTGCTTTGTCACCCAGGCTGGAGTGCAGTGGCATGATCTGACACGTGGCCAGAAGCCAGTGCCTTTTGATACTACGATGGGCACAGGCTAACTTCCTATGCATTTTGTCTTTCTGAGCAAAATACACTGGATGAGAAATAAATCATGTGAATTATAAATAACATGGGCATGAATAGAATTTCAAGTTCACTGAGAATCGTACTTGGAAGTTAAGAGAAGTCATAGAATATTATGGTTATTTTTTAAAAAGGGACTGGCCGGGTGTGATGGCTCAAGCCTGTAATTCTAGCACTCTGGGAGACCAAGATGGGAGGATTAATAGAGGCCAACAGTTCAAGACCAGCCTGGGCAACATAGCCAAACTCTTTCTCTATAAATACTAACAAAATAGCTGGGTGTGGTAGTGGGCACCTGTAGTCCCAGCTACTCAGCAGGGGCTGAGGAGGAAAGATCGCTTGAGCCCGGGAGGTTGAGGCTGCAGTGAGCCATGTTCCTGCCACCGCACTCCAGCCTGGGTGACAAAGCGAGACTCTGTCTCAAAAAAAAAAAAAAAAAAAGGATAATGCATGCAAAATACTTATCATAGAACCTGGCAATACTAAGCGCTCAAAGATGAACAAATGTTAGACAAAACTTTCTATGATCTGACTTCATACTTCTTCAGCCTTATCTTATAGCTCTAATTATTAACTAGCTCTCATTTTTCTCAGCACTATACTTAACTGGAAAGATAATCTGTATTTCTTTGAGGAATGAGTCTGAATTTTTAGTTACTTGTGAGCCCTTACACATAACACTATAGTGCTTTCCAATCCATATGCCTTTTAAAATTTTAAAACATGTGCTTTGCTACTATGATATGGGATAGAGTTGTAGTTTATTAAACCTTGTTAATTGCCCAATATTTTTTCTTTCCTTTCCTTTTTTTTTTTTTTTTTTTTTTTTTTTGACAGAGTCTTGCTCTATCGCCTAGGCTAGAGGCAGTGGCACAATCTCAGCTCACTGCAACCTCCACCTCCCAGGTTCAAGCGATTTTCCTACCTCAGCCTCCTGAGTAGCTGGGACTATAAGTGTGCACCACCACACCTGGCTACTTTTTGTATTTTTAGTAGAAACAGGGTTTTGCCATTTTGGGAAAGCTGGTCTCAAACTCCTGACCTCAAGTGATCCACCTGCCTTGGCCTCTAATTTTTCTTAATAAGAATTGAAATAAAATTAAATCTCCATACTACATGGTTTTTAATATAAGGATCACCAAAATATAATCAGGTTTGCAGAAATAAGCAACAATTACTGACAATCTACTGACGCATTGGACATTTTAAATGGCTATTTTTGATGCATATAATGGAACTGCCCTTGACCTGTCAGTCAATATTATCATTGTGAGCCTTCTTCTTGGCTTAGATGAGAAGTGGAGAGGTTATGTGATTCTCTTTTTTCACTGTCTTTGCCTCGTTCCCCTTATATTTGCTACATGACTTTTTCATCACTGTCGTTGCCAATGTCACATAGATAGCTAGTTAATGATTAATCCAGGCCTGGAAACCAGATTTTTTCCCCCAGACTCTGAGAAATTCCATTAAACCTACTTCACATTGTCTCTTCTGCAGGATGATAGAACAGAGATCTTTCTTGCGGGTCATATTTCTCTACGTATTGATTTTAAGTAACTTCTAAGAACTCAAAATTTCTTGATCCCAAATTTTGTGGTAGAAATTGTAACAAGAGTTACTCTTTTGACAAGGGCCAGAAACATATTAAAAGGCCTGCACAGATTTGAGTCATGCTTTTTTGTTCATTCATGTTACACTTGCTTTTAGTTTATCTTCCATGGCCAAATCCATTCTGAGTTCCCATCTTTCCTTACCATAACTGTCACTCTCTATCTTTTATATTAAGCTATAGGACTGGGGCAGAAAGGTAGGTCAAAGGGTACAAAGTTTCTGTTAGACAAGAAGACTAAGATCTGGTTATCTATTGCACAGCATGGTGATTATAGTTAATAATAATGTATTGTATATTTCCAAATTGCTAAAAGATTAGATTTTAAATGTTCTTACCACAAAGAAATGGTAAGTTTGTGAGGTAATGGATATGTTAATCAGCCTGATTTGTTCATTCCACCACGTACATATGCACTGAAATATCACATTGTGCCTCATAGATATGTATCATTATTATTTGTCAATTAAAAATAAAAATTAGGCCGGGCACAGTGGCTCATGCCTGTAATCCCAGCACTTTGGGAGGTCGAGGTGGGCAGATCACCTAACCAGGCAATTAACAAGGTTTAATAAACTCCAATTCTATCCCATATCATAGTAGTAGATCAGCCCGGCCAACATGGAGAAACCCCATCTCTACTAAAACTACAAAAATTTGCCGGGTGTGGTGGCGGGCGCCTGTAGTTCCAGCTTGGGAGGCTGAGGCAGGAGAATTGCTTGAACCTGAGAGGCGGAGGTTGCAGTGAGCTGAGATTGCGCCACTGCACTCCAGCCTGGGCGACAGAATGAGACTCAGTCTCAAAAAATAAAAATAAATAATAAATAAAAATTAAAATTAAAAAAATACAGAATTTCAGAGCTTGAAAGGAACTTTTAATTGATTCAAGCCACCCCTCTTAAATATACAGGGTAGGAAATAAAGAGTATATATGACTCATTCCATTTGTTTATTTTTTTTCCCCTCTTACCCTAAGAATTTCTCACATTTTCATCAGCTTGTCATGAGTTGTATATTGATTCATGTGTTTCTAAGTAGTAGGGAAAATATCCCAAACATTGGTTTATAAAATGCCTGTAAAATATAGAAGATCAATTAAAATAAATACAGGAAGTCAACAAAGGTTTTAGAAAAGTGATGCTTCTCTCTGGGACTCTGTCCTTGCCAGGAGCCAGTGCTCAAGGAGAATCAGAGCTTTATTTTGTGGCAAAGAACGATTTTCTTTAACTCCTCCTTAGAATTCCCAACCAAATTGGTAACTGGGAGCAATACATTCAATACTCAAAAATAACTCTTGAACATGTGGTTTCCTTTTCATTTTTACTGGTGTTACCTTAGTTCAGGACATTATAATTTCCTACTTATATCAGTGCATTAAGCTATGGCTTTTCTGCCTCCATTTATGCAAGTCACAGTTGTAAAATAGGCCTTCCTAGAACACAACTATTTTACTCACTTGCTTAAGAGTCTCCCTATTTATTATAGGATAAAATTCAGGCTTCCTAGCATGTTAGACAAAACTTCCTAGGATCTGACTTCTGTGTACTTATCTTATGCCTATCTTTAAAATTTGTCCTAATTCTCCTCCTTAGTTAGGAAAAAAAACTGAAGATGCTTAATCTATCTATCAAAGCTATGCACCATAAAGTTAGTGTTTTCTGTTCCAGACTTATTATGTTATTTCCCACCTTATATTCTAAATTAAAATAATGAAGAACTACTTGTGGTTCCTCTAAATGCCTTGCTCTTCATTGCCTCTCAGTTTTCCCATGTGTTTCTCCCATGGTGAATACATTAGGAATGTTTTGGCTACATTTCCCAGAAAAGGTGGCTTAAACAACATCAACATAAGGCATCTTATTCTCTTACATAACAGATTTGGTGATAGATGGTTCAAACTTTGGCTTAGAAACTCAGGTAGTTTTTGATCAAGGAGATTAGATTGACATTTCTGCCATTTTCTAGCCTTACTCTGAAGATCACAGAATGACTCTGGCAGTTTTAGGAATTAAGTCAACAGGCCAGTATACTAGTCTGAAAAGAATGATCATAAACATAGGCGTTCTCTTCATGATTCTGTGTCATTTTGCATGGCGGGGGAAAAAGTCCTTAGGTAGAATATGTTGGCCTTAGAAGAAAGGCTGAGAAAGGGAAATAGATTAGGATCCCTCAGAATTTATCCATTGGGGCTGGATATATTGCTACACCACACAAAATCAAGGTCATATTAGCTTTGAAATTGTGGAGAATGGCTCCGGTGTAGGCAACTAACAGTGTCTGCTATACTCAGCATAGAATGCCATTCCTTCTTGTTGACTTTATTTTTATTTTTATTTCTTGAGACAGGGTCTCACTCTATTGCCCAGGCTGGGGTACACTAGCACAATCATGGCTCACTAAAGCCTTGAACTCCTGGGCTCAAGTGATCCTTCTACCTCAACCTCCTGAGTAGCTGGGCCTACAGGCTCACACCACCATATCCAACTAATTTTTTAGTTTTGTAGAGATGGGGTCTCACTATGTTGCCCAGGCTTGGCTTTCATTTTTTGATATGAAGACTCATTTTGTTTTGTAGCCCATTTCCTCTGAGAGCCTTTCTTTGATCTTGCCTTTATTCCCTGCTAATCTGGGTTGGCAGTCTAGCCTATATGCAGTCTTATATCATAGAATTTATGAGGCTCCAATCATGTGTTGTGTTTCTTTTTTCCTCCTGTCTCTTCATCTGGCAGTGAGTTCCTTAATGACAAGAGATTGTTAGTTTTCTGTCTGTGACTCCCAGTGCTTGCCTTAGGGTAGAAGATTTAAGGATGCTTATTTGATGACTGACAATGAGGGAGGAAGCTGAGCCAAGCCTCCTTTATGACATTTTTCTCTACAATGAGAAAACTTGGAAAAACCAAAGCAAATCTAGAATCCTCTGTTCAACTCTATCCTATGATCTCACTTTCTTTCTCAATCTCTTCCTACAAGGTGCCCTTTCCTCTGAAGGGAGCTCAGAACTGGTGCAAGAAAGTTTACCAATCATCTACACCCTGACCCACATTATTCACAATGGCCACCTGCCATTTCTTATGACATTTGTATTTCTTTAGGGCATTTTAAACTCAGAACCTAACACAATGCTGAATCCATAATATACAGTCAGTAAAGCTTGACATATTTTTGGAGTATTTCTTTTGAATACATATTATATATTCCAGAAATCTATATCTAGGGATGTGGGTAGGATTAATACTTGCTTTGTTCTCATTAGCCATTGAAGTTCTTTGGTTGTTTGAGATTGTGGAGTTTTCCTAAATGAAAGATAGAATAATTTCTCATTTCTATTATTTTTTTCAGGTCTTTGGCCCAGGCGTTGGGGTAGTCTCTGTATGTCAAGGAGTACAGATTGGACTATCTATGGCTGTTAACCTAAAGCAAGTCACAGCCACGGTACTTATTAATGGAACCAACTTTCCTTTTGGCATTCCACAGGTGTATCGTGGTAAGATCTATCAGCCCTTTCCCTATTCTGCACAATTAATATCCACCAGTGCCTTGGGGTTACTAGAGCTCTATCGCATTTATGAGACAACTGAAGTTGGGGCCAGTCAATATTTATTTCCTGTTGAAGAGGCCCAGGGGCATTTCCTCTTCATCGTAGGAGAAGGCGATAAGATTATCAACAGCAAAGCACATGCTGAACAAGCCATAGGACAGCTGAGGAGACATGGGAAGAACAACTGGACCCTGCTTTCTTACCCTGGGGCAGGCCACCTGATAGAACCTCCCTATTCTCCTCTGTGCTGTGCCTCAATGACCCGTGATTTGAAGTTACACTGGGGAGGAGAAGTGATCCCACACGCAGCTGCACAGGAACATGCTTGGAAGGAGATCCAGAGATTTCTCAGGAAGCACCTCATTCCAGATATGACCAGTCCACTCTAAGAAGACTAGATATTCCTAGAAAATAAAGAAGCAAATCTCTTTACCAGGACCTTCTCTCAATTTTCATGGCGGAATGTCTCCCCCAACTGCTATATACATTTTGTATTAATTTTAATGATTAAAAAGAGCATAGGGTAAAAACCTGATATTTCACTTATACTGCATAACAAGCTACCAAACTGGAAATGGTGGATAAATCATAAAACAAATCATTTTACTTATTATTTACATGACTTTTCTTTCCATCAGGTCTTCTAAATAGGACTGAGGTATAGTACACTGGCAAAAATAAGAAAAGGCAAACAAGAATAGCACCAAAGTAACAGATACCTAAAACCAAATACCATGTCAGAACACACTATATAGTAAGAATTCATCGAATTAGAGCTGCAGGAGAAAGGTAATACTAAATTATAATCATTTTAGTGATATTTTTCAACTTCACCGCAGTAACTTTGCAACATCATTTTTCATTTGTGGGGTAGTAAAATTCATGTCAAAAAGGAAAGAAGGAATGGAGGAAGTCAGTTAGTTCATTGCAATAAATTACTTCTTCAGTTCTTAAAAACATGCCCACTGGCACATAATTGAGACATAATAACTAAGACTAGAAGAGACTTGGTTTAAGTTATGAAGCAAATTAAAATGGAAAAGACAAGAAAATAGAACCAATGAGGTTGAAAATGCCCCTTACTGAAAATCTGTATTAAAAATAAAATTAATAAAGCAAAAAATAAATATAGAAATACAACTCTGCTAGTACAGGCTAACCTGGGGAGTTTGATGAACTGAGTGATTGGGTCAACTGTCACTGTACTTCCATAATGAATTTTTTCAGTCATGTTAGAGTAGCACATGAATGTGAGCTCTATTAGGACAGGTACTATTTCCATAAGACCCAAATAGTTACTGTACATCCCATAAGTAAAAAATACTTTAGTTTGATAACCAACAAAATATATGAAGACTCCATGTAATTCAACCACATGATTGTTGTACAGTCCTTTGCAAATATTAAAACTTTTTTTGCTATAAGGCTTTGATCATACAGTTCTCTAGCAACATAACTACCATCTAGCATGTACCACATTTTGCAAGCCTTTAAGTTCAACAATCCAAACTGTCAATTTGTATTTTGTACAAATGCAGTATCCTTGAGGAATATAGTGTGTCAGTTAAATATCTAGAGACATACAAACATCTGCTAATTCATCTCACTGCAATGGGTCATTCTGATCTCCATCATCAACCCGCTTTTCATCAGCTTCTCCTACTTCATTCTCCTCATAGTCTTTATCATGAGGGATTCTGTATCCTGTCTCTCATCTATACTTTCTTGCCTTCCTGGCTGTGATTTATTTGTACAGCCTACACAAAAACCATAGGGTCAAGATCCATGTCTTACTCCAACACTGGCTGCTAACATGATCTTCTTACATACCATATATTTGCATTTTTATCCTTCTTATGCACCAAGAAATGTTTTCTTCCATGTTTTCTTCAAGTGTAAAAAATCACAGCTAAATGACCTCACTCATGTATGAATAAGCAAGTGCCTTTTTAGTGTTGCATTTGGCTGCATAGCTACAATGATGGCATTTTAACTTATTCATGATTAGAGATGATGATATGGTTTGGATATTTGTTGTGCCCAAATTTCATACTGAAATGTAATCCCCAGTGTTGGAGATGAGGCCTGCTGCGAGATGTTTGGGTCATGGGGGTGAACCCACATGGCTTGATACTGTCCTCATGAGAGTATGATAGTGAGTGAGTTCTCAAGAGATCTGACTGTTTAAAAGTGTATGGCACCTCCTCCCTGCCCTCACACTCTTTCTTGCCTCCTCTCTCGCCATGTGAGGTGCCTCCTCGCCGTTCACCTGCTGCCATGACTGTAAACTTCCTGAGGCCTCCCCAGAAGCCAAGCAGATGCAAGCATCATGCTTCTGTAAAGCCTGCAGGACCATGATCCAATTAAATCTCTTTTCTTTATAAATTACCCAGTCTCAGGTATTTCTCTATAGCAACACAAGAACAACCTAACACGAATGATTCACCATTTTCCCAAGTTTCTTGTTTTGGCCAAGATTCTGGCAATAATCCATATTTGAAATCATTTGAAGGACCTGGTATCAATTGATACTTGAAATCATTTGAAGTATCTGGTGTCAACTCATACTTGAAGTCACTTGAAGTGCCAGGTGTCAAACCACACTTATTATAAAATCATGTGAAGTTCTAATATCACCTCCATCTTGATTAGACCCAGCTTCAGCTAATACATTCTTATCATCATCCAGCCCTGAAAGTAGAGCAACATCCAAATCTGGTTCTTCCAAGGTTTCTACTCAAATATGAGTAGCATATTTTCCCCTGAAAAGGCAATAGGTGGCTGCATCATTGAGTAATCTTCCAAATTTGTTTCATTATTAGATGATGTATTATAAATAAATCTCTTTGTAGTTTGGTTTTTCCTCCGTGTTTCCCAGTTTCTTGAATTCCCTGGGAGCCCATATTATTCCCAGCAAACACTTGTTTGACCTTTGGATTTGTTTTCAGCCATTTCAGGAGATGCATTCTGGACCCAACCACTGTCATTCACTTGGTAGTTTTCTGTTTGGCCCTTGTTGACATTACAGCCATCATTTTCAATTTTTATATTACTTGCCAAATTGGTAAGATTTAATGTTTCCCCCAAATTGGCAATTTTTTGATCCCATGATGAAGACAGACCATCTCTATTAACTGAGGTTTGTTTGTTTGTTTGTTTGTTTGTTTGTTTTTAGACAGTCTTGCCTGTCACCCAGGCTAGAGGGTAGAGGCAGGATCCTGGCTCACTGCAACTTCTGTTTCCCAGATTCAAGCAATTCTCATGCCTCCTGAGTAGCTGGGATTACAGGCATGAGCCACCCTCCTTGGCTAATTTTGTATTTTCAGTAGAGACAGGGTTTTGCCATGTATGCCAGGCAGATCTTGAACTCCTGGCCTCAAGTGATCCATGTACATTGGCCTCCCAAAGTGCTGGGATTATAGGCATGAGCCATTATGCCCAGCCTGGTTTTCTATTATTATAGTCCACAACTGCAGACCCTGGAACTTCTGATTTAATGCTTATATTTAATCTTTAATAAATTTAGGCATCTTTAATAAAATTTCTGCAAGTTTGAAATTTCACTTGTTTGAAGATAGGTCACTATCATTATTCTGGCTTGTGAGCACCAGGTTACCAGAATATAAGAAGTCCACAAAGACTGAAAAATTTTGACTGCAGCAATATCTAAGTGGGTAGTATTATTTTGGTTAGGGCTTTCTTAGCTTTTAACGCTATATAAAGTCTTAAAGAAATGGCTGCCAGCAACCAGGATGTTCTTAGGAGCCTTACAGATTTTCTGCTTACTAGAGCACTGACACCACAAAGGATACCTTTCTTTTTTAGTTCATTTTGTTGTCACAGAAGTTGACAGCAGTATCACTTCTCATTTGGTCTACTAGTAAAGTCATAGTACCCCTCCTCTGATGGTATTGCTGACTCCTCGGCATTATCTCCAGGGAGTTTGTACTCAACAGAGATGTGGTAACACAGAAGGGTTTTCTTGTTGTTATGGGTCCCCCAAGAAAGCTCATCATGCCCCACTTGGGGATGGTTCAGACTTCCATCATCCATGGGGGTCATTTGGCACCAACCTCAAGATATAAGGCCAGTATCCTTGGAATATTGCAGCAAGGGAATGTGCTTGAGCTACAAGGTCTTCGAGGAGCACTGCAGCTTCTGCACTAGAGACTTGGACTGCATGAGCAGGAAGTTCTAGACAGTCTCTCCTTCACCAGCTCCTACACTACTGCCCTTCACAGAGGAATGTCTTTGATCTTTTACTGTAAGAAGGAAGTCACAGCAAGAGAAGAGCAAGAGGACTGAGAATGGTCGCCTTAACTTTAAAAGGGAAAAATCGTTTCCTCTTAACCCAATATCATATACTGAGAGTCCCATATTTGTAGAAATGAACTTAGAGTTCTACCTGACCTAAAATATTCCAGTTTGCAATCATAGCAATACGTAAGGGAAAAAAAGCTACCACCAATAAACTACAGAATGCCCTGGCTCATAAAACAGACATGAAATGAATCAGAGGTTGACGCTTGTTGAGGTCCTAAAGCTCAAATTAAATATGCTTAGATCTCTCATATTTTAAAATAGTAATGCAATTGTTATTGGAAAACTAGATCTGGGAAAAGAATCTATTAGTTTAAGGCAATATGGAAGTTGATATGGATATAAGATCATAGAATGGGTCTACAATCAATAATTCAGCAAAAGCTAATAAAATTAAATAAACTTATTTTTGCACTTAAAAATGTCCAACATTTTGGCATTCTCAGCAATGAGAAAGGAACCATATGAAATTCACAGAATTGCATCTTAGGGACACAGCTATGATGAGGGGATTGTGTGTCTCTAGATTAGGAGCTGGCAAACTCTTTCTGTAAAGTATTAGATAGCAAATATTTTCAGTATTGCAAGCCATAAGGTCCCTGTTACCATTACTCAGCTCTGCCATGATAGCACAGCAACACCTATGGATAGTGTGTAATGAATGACCGTCTGTGTTTCAATTAAACTTAATTTATGGACACTAAAATTTGCATATAGTCTCTGCATCACAAAATAGTAATTTTCTTTTTATTTTTTCTCCAAGTATTTACAAATGTAAAAACCATTCTTAACCCACAAGCAGTACAAAAATAGGCTGTAGGTTATTTGGCTTGCAGGACATAATTTTATGGTCCTGGGCATAGTGAAATCCAAATAACTTTGTCCAAGGTCAACTTTGAGGGGTTTTCTCTAAGGGGCAAGTCACAGCCCAAATATTTCTGAGCAACTAAATTGCAATGTATGGAAGTGGAAGGTGATTGGTGGATAATTAAGGTGAAGATGGATGACTAGAAATATATTTTGAATCGTTTTGTAGGTAGGTGGGGAGCCAGTGAAGAATTAGAGTAGTGGAAGTAACTTGAGGACACTTTGGTTGTGTGTGTCTAAACTCTTTTCCTTCTATCTGCTTTCTGATACGCCCTCTGTTTAGAGTAAAATCATTCCATTTGGTTGAGTGAGACTAATAGCCTCCCTCCTCTCTCAGTTATATAAGTGGTCATATTTCATAGACCCACTCAATAGGAACATCTCCTTTGACTATATGAGTAATAATCATGTAATGGCTAACACCTGCCGTCCAAAGTTATATAATAGTTGTAATAATGGGTGTAATTTTCTTATTTCCTGTTTTGGACTTTAGGAGGAATGTTTTTGCCTATATAGTATGATGTTGGTGTTTGGCCTCATGTATGTCACTTGATTTATAGTCTATGAAAAAATTTTTTAAACTAAGAATTTTTGAATTGTTTTTCAAGTGTCTTTTTATCATCATCAGAAATAATTTTATGTTTTTTCTCTGGATAGCTAAATGGAATAAATTATTTTTTAGTATTTAGTCATCTTTGCATTTGAGAAAGGTAACTCATTTGGTCATGATGTATTCTTAATTAACATTAATAAATGGGATTAAACTGTGGTTTCCTTTTTCACGATATTTTTGGGTTAGATATTATACCAATGTACTTCTTTCATAAACAGAATCTTAAAAAATTTCTTTTTAAATATAATAGTTTAATTACAATAAAAATTATCTTCTTTTTAGAAAGTTTAGTAGTACAATCCTGAATATGTAATTATTCCTGGTAATTTTTTAAAAGACAACCTGGATTTTTATTGATATCTAGTATAATATATTTTTTTCTATATTATAGTGGATATTTCCAGTCCAAACCAGTTCTTTATATTTTTTAGACTTTCACATACCAGGAAAATAAAAAAAAAGATTTAAAATTAAATTACATAATAAAATCTTTTAAAAAAATCCTTAATCTGGCATATTAATGTTGCCAGAGTTAAAATAGAAAAGGACATCACCTGACACTTTTCAAAAGAAGACATACATATGGCCAACAAGCATATAAAAAGAAGTTCAACATCACTGATCATTAGAGAAATGCAAATCAGAACCACAATGAGATATTATCTTATACCAGTCAGAATGGCTACTATTAAAAAGTCAAAAAATAACAGATGCTGGTGAGGTTGCAGAGAAAAGGGAATGCTTATACACTGTTGGTGGGACTATAAAATTCAACCATTGTGGAAAGCAGTGTGGAAATTCCTCAAGGAGCTAAAAATACAACTACCACTTGACCTAGCAATCCCATTACTAGGATTCCATTACCAAAGGAACAGAAACTGTTCTATCATAAAGATACATGCATGCATATGCTCATTGCAGCACTATTCACAATAGCAAAGACATGGAATCATCCTAAATGCCCACCAATGGTAGACTGAATAAAGAAAATGTGGTACATATACACAATGGAATACTACGCAGCCCCAAGAAAAGAACAAGATTGTGTTCTTTGCAGGAACACGGATTGAGTTGGAATAAACTAACACAGGAACAGAAAACCAAATACTGCATGTTTTCCCTTATATGTGGGAGCTAAATGATGAGAACACATGGACACAAAGCGGTGAACAACAGACACTGGGGCCTATTTGAGAGTGGAGGGTGGGAGGAAGGAGAGGAACAGAAAAAGTAGCTATTGGGTACTATGCTTAGTACATGGGTGACAAAGTAATCTGTACAATAAATCCCTGTCACATGAGTTTATCTGTATAACAAACTTGCACACTTACCCTTGAATCTAAAATAAAAATAAAAAAATTTAAACAAGGAAAGGAATCCATGTAAATTTTTGCTTAATTAAAAAATATGAACAAAACTTTGTAAAAGATACTTTTTTATTGTGATAAAATAGATACAACATAAAATAGACATAAAATTTTTAGTCGTATAATATATATGCTGTATAGTGGCATTAAGTACATTCACATTGATATGCTATCATTACAACTGCCTATCTCCAGAACTTTTTCATCTTTCCAAACTAAAA